TTTTATATTTATAATAATTACAGCCTAAAAATAACTGAGGTGTTTAAATAATTTATTATGGCACGTTTAGATAAGCGTACGAACAAGTCGCCAAACAACTCGCCTAGTTATTCGTGGATGAGTACAACGCGTTTACATATTCATCTGTATTCACTATTCATTCAACGTAGATCTTTTAAACATGGATTACTTGCGTCTTGTTGCTACGAATTTAGGACTATGTCTGCTTAGTTTTATAGACTCACAAATCTTTCAAATAAAACAAGAAGAAAACACGGCATTAGTAGTATAAGTAGCATAAGTAATTTCTTGTGAAATATTTAATTGCAACTGAATCGAGTATATACATACTTATATTTTTTCATGTACTCGTAATTTGTTTAAGAATAAGTAACGAACCAGCTATCCGTCCCAGCTTCGAACGGGTGATTACTGGATCTTGACAGCAGCACCTTCCGGGTTCCGGGTCCAATCGTGAATCTGCACTATCCAGGAACCCACTCAAAGACACAAAAAATTTACCAAAATCATATATATCAGAGACTAACGGACTGCAATTGATAGAGAAAATGATAGTTCACGGGTCAACTTATTCAGTTGACCCGTGAACTATCATTTTCGTGGAGGGTATGTAAACACCGATACGAATATACACGAACATTCCTTGTACTCTTGCTAAAAACTGACATCGAGTGAAGAACAAGCGAATGCTCGGGCAGAGTAGCGAGCACACTCGAACAAGTCGTTGTTTATTTATTTACTTTGCATTATGTGTGTGTTAAACGTTTAGATGCTCGCTCGTGCCTATTCGTTCGGCGAGTATCTAAAGGTTCCATTACGGTGTAATAAAAGCGAAATAGAACCATTTGAATTGATTATTATGAACGTATCGTTGTTGTCAATTACTTCAACATCTATTCACATAATAATAAGCAAAATTGCCCTCTATAAACTGTTCTTCCCTTTCATGATCATAATGTACCAATAAAACGCGATTTCTTATTTTCTAAAAACATTAGCATTTACTCTTGTACCGTTGAGGTGTTTCACATACAGTAAGTACCTGGAAGACAGATTACCCTATATAGTATATTATCTATTAAACAGAGCTTTGCTTGCGTTAGAAACTAAATAAGCTTTACTGAGGGATTACAGTAACACCTATCTAAGAAAACTCGCAAAGTAAATAAAACATACACGTGGTAGAGCTACGCTACAACATTTTTAACTTCCCGCTAAGAAAATTGAAAATTTTCAAAAATAGGAAAGTTATTGGTTTCACCCCGATTTTCGAAAATCGAGTTTTCATCAGATCTCGCCGTTTTGAGATCCCAGGAAGCTATTCCGACTAATTTCCCGTGGACGTCGGTACGGATGTATGTTTGTACGTATGTATAAGTATGTAAACCTTTCATAACTTTTGCACATCTTGATCGATTGAGATGCAGTTTGCGGCGTTCTAAAGATCTCAATGTGGAATAGATTTGGTGTTTAACATTACTTCGAGATTTCGTAACATAATTTGGTGAAATTTGGGACGCTTTGCATTTGCAATTAGCGGGAAGTTCCAGGGATGGCCTGCAGAGTCAACCAATTTTTTTATAAAATAAGGGTGACAAACGAGCACACAGTCCACCTGATGGTAAGTGGATGCTGTGGCGCATAGACGTCTACATTTATCTTCAATTACGAATCAAAATGCAGATGCGTTGTCAGCTCTGAGGACTGAAATGGAATGTTTCGTTTCCAGTAAATAAAGTCTCCGGTTCTCTACACTCACCATACGAAGCACAGCAGCATTAAGCAGCTATTTTACGCTGGTATTCTGTGAGAGCGCGGTCCTACCCCGGTCGAGATACCCGGATAATCAAAATACAAATGCTTTGTCACCCCTGTAGACTAAGATAAAATGCCTAGTTTTCAGTAAAAATTTATAAGTATATATATATATATATATATATATATATATATATATATATATATATATATATATATATATATATATATATATATATATATATATATATAATATATTATAATAAATTTTGAAAAACAATTATTGCATTTGTATATAAAATACAAAGAAACTTTTCCCCGATTTTATATTTCATAAAGATGTATTGATCTTCACAATTTTCTATAAAATTAACATCCCCCGCTATGACATTAGTCAAATCATCACCATCATCATTACAGCCCTTCACAAGTCCACTGCTGAACATAGGCTTCCCCAAGGAATGCCACAAGGCGCGGTCCTAAGCCACCTGCATCCATCGACTTCCCGCATGTCTTACCAGGTCGTGACTCCATCTAGTGGGGGGGTCGCCCTACACTATATTATAGATATTGCCACTCGAGAACCTTTTTTCCTCATCGGTTGTCGGTTTTCCGATCTATATGGCCGACTCATTGCCACTTCAGCTCACCAATACGTAGGGCTATGTCGGTCACTCTGGTTCTACTGCGGATATTCTCATTTCTAAGTATATCAACGCAAAGAAACCCCGAGCATAGCCCCCTCTCCATAGCTCGCTGAGTGACCTTGAGTGTTCTAATATGGCCAGCAGTGAAAGACCACGTCTCAGATCCATAAGTCATCACTGGTAACACGCACTGATGGTACAATCTAGTTTTCAGGTTTCGAGATATACCTGACGAGAAGATGTGTCGTAGTTTCTCGAACACTGCCCAGCCAACTCGAATCCGTCAATTGACCTCTCGGTCGAAGTTGGACTTGCCTAGTCGGAGTATGTGTCCCAGCTCGAAGTTGTTGTCAACAAATTCGAGCTTAGTGCTCCCAACAACTACCGCCATAGGGGTGACATGGACAGTAAACATGATCTTTGTTTTGTCCATGTTCATCTTAAGACCTATCCGTTGGGAGACACTATTTACGGCATCGAGTTGCTTAAGTCCTTCAGAGATTCTGCCATAAGGACTATATCGCGGGCAAATCAAAGGTGAGTGATGTATTCGCCATTGATCTTAATATCGTATCCTTTCCAGTCCAGTAGCTTGAATACGTCATCCAAATACAACGGTGAAGAGTACTTCTCAAACTTAACGTTTAAGCTCAGTGTGCCTTAAACCATTCGGTAATCGCTGCCAGTTTTCACCCTTGCGATCACCGAGACATTTCGGGGCTTGACCAGGTCCACTTTCTGTGGGGCCGCTTCTGGAAGAAAGAGTCCCTCTTTCTCCATGAACTCGGCCAGCTGCTGGCCCCTTGGGTTCCGTTGCCCTATCCCAAATTTCCCTCCCTTCAGCTCACCGTTATTTCTTGTGCCTAGCTTTGCGTTAAAGTCTCCAATTAACACCGTATAGTGAGTTTTGGAGGAACGCATGGCTCTAGAAATGTCCTCATACATTTTCTCCACCTCCTCATCGGGATGTTCCGACGTTGGCGCGTAAACCTGTATGACCTTCAGCGAAAACCTGTTGGTGATTCTGAGTATAACGTCGCCCTATCCCTAACCCTCGTCGACACACTCCCAATCTTTACAACGTTGTAAGCGAAAGACTTGAGGACGATAAATCTAAGACCTCCTTGGGACAAATGGTCGCCCTCCCGGTGATAGAACAAGTTGCTGGTTTCGAGAATCACCGTGTCATTCCACTCTTATCGGACTTCGGATAATCCTATAATATTCCAGCGCAATTTGTCTCTCTATTCTACCAGCTCCAGGATCTTCTAGTCAGCCCTTAGGGTGCGTGCGTTATATGTTACGAGTCGTTTTAGGTGGCAACCGAACCTCCTAGGAGATTTTTAGCACCCCCTGCACCGCTGATACCATGGTCGTCACCGTAGCCAGGAATAGCAAGGCCGCTGGGACTGGGGGCCGTCTATTTGCATCGTTGATCATGGGGGGTATATTGCCATAGTTGCCACGCTTGGCGAGCGGGTTGGCAACTGCAGTTTTTTTGTCGTACAGTTGCTGTTATCAGGCAGATGCTGCTGTCCATCTCCTGCCTGTTTCCCTCTGTTGCCTTTTACGACACCCACGGGAAGATATGGGGTAGTGGATATTCTTAACCGCCACTCTACACGGCAAATCAAATTATTAGTCAAATATTACCTATTCCAAGGTGGTACCGGCCTGGTGGCAGAAAAAGTTATGGATGTTCCAGGTTGGGATGTATGTCCTTGTGAAATTTATGTATGTAAACGACCCCACGAAACAGATGAAATTTCTAGTGTTAAAGTAAACTTTTTTTTAACAAAAAAAACACTGTGTCTGAGATACGGATAATCGTCTTACAAACGAGAAATCCTCCAAATTATGAAAATGACGACCTGTTTTGCAAAGCATTTTGATAACGACAGTGGTAAAAATGTATTTACTATTTTTTATAAAATAAAATGTCCTGTAGCCAATGATATTATAAGATTTACTTATAATATCATTGCCTGTAGTCTAACACACACATGTATATAATATACCTAAGATAAATATTATTTATTGTATAAAAGACATTATGCCAAAATAAATCGTAAAAGTTATCGCTCATAAGTAGGTATTCATGTATTTTCAGTTTTCATTACAATGTCACGCTTCTATAAAGTTCACGACTTTAAATAAAATTATGTAAAATAATGATACTTCCACGTAAGTTTAATTAATGTACAATTCAATGTAAATTACTGCCTTGGAATCAAAAACTTTTGCTAAGTCAGTCACAAATGTTTAAAAAATGTCACCTATATCTATTTTTTAATATACTATATTAGATGTAGGATGAAAATCAAGCAAAACTGGTAATAGCATCAATAGTTATTCATTACTTCATTTTACTTTTGCCTTTTTACACTAAATAATGCAATACAATTAAAAATATATACTTACTACATATACAATAAAAAACTGAAAATTTACTGCATAATGTATTAAGTGTATTTTAGATAATATGCAATACCTATATATTTTAAAACAAGCTTTTGTAAAAAAATAAATTTCTTTATAATGCTTCAATTAAATTAAATTTACAAAAGCTGAACTTACCCTGCTCAAAATCCTTTTCGGGTTGTTGATTAATCAGAGACCTAAAAAAATAAATCAAAACTATTCCCACAAATGACGCAAAAAATAACATCAAATTATTAAATACGATTTAGATCGTAACACATCACAACACTATTCACATTCAATTTAAAAAAATCAAAAACGGAACGACTTCCCGCCAATGTACTGTCAAGCGACTGCAACGACGAATGTCAAAACAATCCAATATTAAATCGCGATCAAACCATATCAGCGCTAAAATCACATTGTACATTGTACAATACGGTTAACATAACAAGTTACATATAACATTTTCACAAAACTCAAGAAGATTCCGTTCTATTATATGCGAATATATAAGCGAGTGCGAACACGAGGAGCAACATGCTTCTTTCATGCGACTAACGTTTTGTATCACGTTCACACCGCAAGCACAAGCTACAAGCAAACCTGTCCTTGCTATATAATTAGACGTCTAGACGTATAACAAACGTACTGGAATATATTGAGCGCTTTTAGCTGCATTGTTATGAAACATTATCGTATGATCCCTATGAACTATTGATAATATTATGATTGCTTACGATTATAGCTGTTGCTTATAGCCTATTATTATTTTATTATAGCGACAAATGATTTGCACAGTTAAATAACAATTTAACCGGTGTTTTAGCAATATTTAATGTTTCTAAAGCGAACATTGGAAAAGTAAAATTAAAGCCTTACTTTTAATTAAGCATTGCAAATGCGAATGTGCAAGTGGTATAATTTTAATTTATATTCATACACATACGAAAACTGCTTTTAATGAATGATTTGCATGCTTAATGATTATTATACATTAACATATTTAGGTATATGCCAATAACAAGATTACATTTTAATGAACATAAGATAAGAAGATAAACAATATTTTAGTGAGCCCATCACCATAATCATAAGTTTCGCAATCCTAAGTTGGACGCAATGATATTCATAAATAAATTTTTTAATATTATTAGGTTGACATTGAATCTGCCAAGGCAGCAAGGCACGCCACTTAGTCCAATCTTGGGCTTTACACAACATGCTGTAGCCAGCTGCCTTGCGTAGGTTGTCGCTTCGCGTAGCTAGGCCATTGAGTTATACAATAAATCAATGAGCTAGGCATTGTACAGTTTTTTTGGGAGTTATAATATTTTTGTTGTAGTTTTTATGTTTAAGTATTTTTGAAGATTATCCGCCAAGAAGCCGAAACTTCAGCTGTCCATCGCTAGCTACGATAAGTATATGTTGCGATGTCTATGAAAAATAATGATTGTGAACACATTACCTAAGTATATTATATTACTGGTTGTCTGTGGTCTGTGGTAATAAGTATTAATTTTACCAACTGCTTGTCAGTGAAAGTAAAAAAAAACCTGTACTCGTTCTGCATTCAAACCTTGGTCCATAATTACCAAATCAGATACTAAATTAGTCTTCGCGATCGCAATAAGTCAATAACAAATCCGCTTCCATAAGTTAATATTATAATATATGAGATCTCAATTCATATGAAATCAATTTATATGAAAACTAGCTGCTGCCCACGACTTCGTACGCGGATGATTTTGCTTTTGCCAGCGACAACGTCTTCCGCGTACAAAGCGTCCTGTCGTCAAATTCGAAGATCTAAAACGTTTGATGTCGAATTCTAAGAGCCCGGGGACGGGAAAACAACGAGATGCGCGAGACGAGTCGAGACGTTCCAGATCTTTCATTTTTGTAAGTCAACACGAAATGCCCATCAGACTAAACAACTTTTGCTAAGACGTCATTCCTATATATGTTATAATTTCGCTGGGCTTTGGAGTTCTACAACAGGTGTTCCAGATCTTCAAATTTATTCTCACAGCAGAAAAAACTCTTCACCTGGAATATTTTTTGCTATGACACCATTTTTATATCTCTTATACTTTAACTGGTCTGTTGCGGTTCTGCATCAAGTGTTCCATTTTCCAAAATAAATTATAGCCTATAATGTTACCTAGACTTAACACCTATACAACAAAACACTTTTCATTCCGTATATTTCACCGATCCGGTGCGGAATGCACCGGATCCCAAGGGTTCACTGAATTAACAATAACATTGCAAATCACTTTAAAAAAAATTCTTTATAAACTATAGCTGTACCCTTGGCTTTGTCCACGTTCTCGGTCACGCGCGAGTCGTATCGCACGCTCGTGACTGCTCTCAAGTGATCGAGTAGTCTTAGAGCGGATATTCTGAAAACTCAACCTCTGATCCCTCTGTGTAACCGTTTCGGATGCGCGAGACAAAGAATGACGATCCCGGTCGATAGCTAAAAGCATAATTCTCGTTGTTCCACACTTTCCTGAGATCGAGAAGCAGTAGTGCGGACTCGTTTAAATTCTAGTCGTAATTGGCGCTGCGTGCTAGTTTCTGCGGACAAACTTAGTGCATTACGCTCACGGTTAGCACCTAGCCGTTGTTCACGCTCTGCGTGGGTTCGAGAGAAACTACTGCTACTACTAACTAACCTGCGCATCTTAGAAACCCTTGAGTTTCGAGACAGATTTGATCTTTTTCTAAAAGGCATAGCTAAAATTCCTTCTTAATCCGATACTAACGATATTCAAAACAATGAAAAGTAATCGAATAAGTACGTAAGAATTGCTAGTAAGTAGAAAAATAATAATTATTCGCAGGAAAATTAAACACATCAACCCACACAGACAACAAAGGTAACCCCCGTTTCTATAGAATGAGAGCGGCCCATCGGCACCTATAACATCATTTTTTGGGAACGAAACCATAGCGCGATCTAACTCGACGCCAACGCGCCGCGCCAAATATTGTTAAACAGCTGTTCCCTTCCAATTTATAATATGACTGCCTAGCTCCTTTATAAAAATAGCGTAATTATTATGTTCCCAGAGTTAAATTTTTATTTTTATTTTAACTAATAACATGTCATTTTGTGCTTCAAATTATTTTGTGCATTCAATTACGAAGAAAAACCTTTTAAAATCAATACTGCTTACCTCCTATAACATATGGCGTGATAATATGTAGCCTAAAGCCTTCCTTGGTTTACAAAGAACATTTTTGCTGAATTTCAATTCAATCTATCCAGTAGTTTTGGCGTGAAGCCGTACCATACACACAGACAAACAGACAAAAATTCTAAAAAGTCACTTTTATCATCAGTTACGTTTTTCTAACAAAAGCCACTTATTTTTTCTCGAAAATACTCAATGTACAGTTTTTCTTTCGTTACTGTTTTATTATATGTATGTATAGATACTAGCAATACGGCAACATCATCAATATTCCCTTTAACTACACCAAGTTATTTTAAAATGCTTGTATTAGGAATAGTTGTAGTAAGTACTTCACAGCAGTAGTCAAATGGTGTAATTTAATCACACGTCTTGCGGTCCTTACCGTTAACCACTAACACACAGGCTACAGCTTCTAAAAGCACATTATAGTGAGACAGTAGATATGTTTTTACTCGCTGGCACCATTGAAATTTTCAGTCATCATCACTATCTCACAAGGAAGATTTAGTAGTAAGTGTAGAGAACGGGAGATTTTCATTACTGGAAACGATGCATCCCAGTCCCCGCATCTGCATTCTGATTCCTAATCGAGGATAAATACAGATGTCTATGGGCTACAGCATCCACTTATTACTATCAGATGGACTGTGTGCTAGTATCAAAATATATTAATTATTAAAAAAATAAATTATAGATATAGCACATTATGTGTACAAAATGTATTCATAGTCAAAATCAGTTCATACGTATCATGTACCTACCATGTAAGTTTTTTTTACAACAAACAACATTAATTTGTAACCCAGTTCAAACAATGATCATACGTGGTTGAACCACGCTGCAGCTATAATAATGGGTGTAGCATGGGCGGGTCGGCTCGAGCGGGGTAGTACCAAGCTCTCACAGAATACCAGCGTGAAATAGTAGCTTAATGCTGCTGTGTTTCGTATGGTGAGCGTAGAGAACCGGTGACGCTTTTTACTGGAAACGTGGCATTTCATCTTTGTACTCAAGTGTGAAAACGGTGTGTATGTGTAATTTCATTCTTAATCGAGTGTAACAATGTGTATTTTCGTTCTTAATCGAGGATAGATGTAGATGTCTATGGGCCATAGTATCCACTTACCATCAGGTGGGGCGTGAGCTTGCTTGTCCTCCTATTTCGACATAAGAAAAAAATTGTTTGCCCAGCTAGCCAATAACAGAGATTTCCGTTAAACTTGGTTTAAAAAGTAAAAGCAGACTTTCAAGTACTAAAAAGAATAAATTAATTTTCACGTAATAGTTTCCTAAAGTCAGTGTCACTCGTTAGACGTCCCGAGGGTGCGTGCGTAAATGAGTGCGTGTTGCGTGCAAGCATTCGTGCGTGCATGTATATAAAATTGGGTGAATTTACAGTAATGGGTCTGAAACCGAGGATTTTTAGGAGTGGTAGTAGTTTTACGGCTCGTTAGCGCAGTGCCTAAGCATTTGGCTGCGGTGCTGCAGGCCGCGGGTTCGAACCACACACGGAACCTGTTTTATGGCCTGATGCTGCCATCACCTAAATTGCCCATGTCGGAAAATAATCACCATCATTACAGCCCTTCACAAATCCCCTGCTGAATACAGGACTCCCCCAAGGAATGCCACAAAGGATGGTAATGAAGGACCTGCTGTCGTCGACCTTCTGTATCTCTTCATCCATTTTAGGGACGCCATAAACTACGCTTGCCGGTACAAGATTGCCAGTCGAGAACCTTTCTAATTGGTTGTATGTTTTTTGAAGTGAAAACTTCTTTAGCGGCGTTGTACACTTTTTTGTAAGGGGTAAAAAATGTTAAACTCGCGTCAGGGCACGTGACCCTGATCGAAAATTCGTAAGACGGATGGAGAGAGAGAGACAGCCGGCGCGGCGTGGGAGAGGAAGTATCCCCCTCTCTTTCTACGGCGGGGCGAAAATGTATCCCTGCGCCTGTTGCTTCGTTTAGTCGGCGCAGGGCGCTTGCGCGAATGTTTGTGTGTGATAATTAAAGCAACTCGTGCAAAATTATTCCCTAATCATTCCAAAATATCAAAAAGCACAACGTTAATATTCAAGTTTTCACTTCTCCCGGCAGTCTCGGAGTGCAACCCGTCGTTTTTTTTCTCTTTATTAGGAATAGCAAACAACTACATAGTATAATGTTACACAAAATAATGGTGGCTTTATGTAATAATAAAGGTAAATATGTAGTCAAATACACTATCCATATATTATCGGACGCGATTCCATGCTAAGCAACAACAGCTGATCGTACGACGTACGAAGTACGTAGTTAGGTGCAGTCGCCAGCAATAATGCGCAAACACCTATGTTAATCGTCATTATAGTAATGAACTAATGTTATTTAACTAAAGTATAGATAATATTACCGTGACTAAAGTTTGTACTTAATTGAAGGTGCACAGAGGTCATTGCCTGCACATATTGACTGCACGTTATACAAAAATTAT